AACAGTTTTTCAAAAACTTTATTGTAGTGGATCTTAGGCACAATTTTGTTGCACAACATCGATTGTTAGTTCTTAAAACAATATTTAACAGTACACGGCAATGCGCAATCTCATTTGCAATGATAAATACCCGGTCGTTTAAAGATGATTTTCAAAGTTTGTAATACATTTTTCTGCAAATTTACGAATGATCCGCATTTTTTGCACTTAAACTGCTTTAGTGTGTATAATTGTGTGTGTACTTTAATTGGAAATTTAAAAGAAGGCGAAACTTTAACAGGCATTTAGTACATGAGTACCCTTAACCTAATATTTGCAGTATCTGCAGCAAAAAAACTGCACCAAACACAACAATATAACACTCAATAATTGATAAATCAAAATCACTGTCAGTTTAATAACGCAATGCGTATTTGAAAAGTTTATCCGATCTACAGATGCACCCGCACTAAGAGAAAAATGTCGAATTCAAAGTGCATATGTGCGTCCCAAGCCTCAGACGCGAAGAGGCCGGAGTGGGAGCCGCCNACGGCTCGCCGGGACCGAGAAAAATCGGTTCGCCCTCCCTTAAAAAGTTATTACTTCAAAAAACAGATGGACCATAATAAAATATATTTTTTTATTTTCTCTGCTGCGATCTTCGTAACTTCTTTCGATAATCTAAATCGAAATTTAAAATTGCGATCGTTTTATTGCAGGAAATAATTTGGTCGCTTCCTATCTGCTGTTCATCTTTTATTTAAAAATGTTCTTAGGAGCTCCCGAATCGTCTGTTAGTTCACCCAAGAGGTCCATTTTCACAAAAAAAATGTTTAATATTTATAAACACCTATGTTATGTAAACATAAAATCAACACCGTAAACATCTTTATTATATGAACGCGACTGGGACAACCGAAAATTTTCGTTGAACCACGTTCACCGCTGAACTGTCGGTGAACTTGGATTGTGCAACCGGCCCTAAGTCATCATTCATCATTTAAGTGGACATCGCCATTTCTCAGTCTGGTCACCCTGTTTAGACAGCTGGAAATTGAATTTTTCGATCAGCGGGGTAGTTCATCCGCTGAAATAAAACTAAGATTTTTTTTTGGTTTGATTCCGGTGGCAAGGGGGATAAAAATCTTGGTGGCTAAGTGTGCGCTAATTGTTCCGCACTTAGATGCACTGTCCGATGGGGCAAACTGCATGTGAATGTCTCGTTTGCATGTCCCGTGTCGTATGTACTTCACAAACTTCACTTGAGCGTCCTTGAGTGTCCGCGGCGTGACCTTGTGTCCGTTGACTTGTCACAGTCACTGCACTTGCGCTAGCTGATGTCTGGGTCCCTTTATCCTGGCGGAAGTGGCTTCGACGTCGTAGTTAACGAGCCTTCTGAGTTCCTCGTGGGTGTTCTTCTGTTCTCCGATAGGTTGCTTCTGCCTTCTCCTTCAGGGCTTGTCTGAAGGGTTTCCATTCCAGGTCTCTATAGATTTGAGCATTCCTGATGAACCAGGGTGCATCAAGCGCCATCCGCAACAGCTTATTTTCCATGGCTTGGATTCTGTGGATTGAAGTGTCTGCTGCGTGCCCCCACGCAGTTGAGGCGTACAGTACCGCAGGTCGTATGATAGCTTTAATCAGTGTGAGTCTGTTTTTCAAGCTGAGCTGGCTTTTCTTGTTCAGCAGCGAGTAGAGTTGGGCAATGCCGTTTTTGCCTTGACCACAACTGCCTGTATGTGATGTTGGTACGTGAGTCGCTGGTCTAGGATAACCCCCAGGTATTTGATGGTACTGGTCCAGGCGACTTCTTTATCATCTATGGTTATCCGTTTGGTGCACGTGTCCAGTTTTCGTCCCAGGAAAATGGCATGGCTTTTGTCGGAATTGATCTTAATTTTCCAGAGGATAAACCAATCACATATCAGGTCGATGGCAGCTTGAAGATTTTTAGCTATTATGTCTTTGCGTTTGTGTGCTGTTAGGATGGATATGTTATATAGGAGTGGGAAAAGCACTGCTCCTTGGGGGACTCCCGCAAGGAGCATCGATGTTCAGCATTCGATGTTTCCCAACATCGATATTACCTTTCGATGTCAACATCGATGGCTACCATCGATGTTATAGGATCGACGCCCCATCCGTAATATCGATATGTATCGATGTTTGTACATAGAATGATGAGGTTTTCTGTTCGTAATTAATAATGGACTGTTGGTTTCATTATCCTCTTGTTCTAATAAAAGAGCCAATGTAAGCTCCATGCAATCCATAGCAATGTCAACGACGCCGACGGCCGCTATGGAGACACTCCTGGGGCTGGAGCCGTTGCATTTATCCATT